GCTACCGCGGCGGCTGGCGGCGCGACACGAGGCACGGCAACGGCCGCTACGTGTACGCCGACGGCAGCAGCTACGACGGCGCGTGGGAGCACAACAGAAAGCACGGCTATGGCGTCTACCGCTTCACGGACGGCTCCTCCTTCCATGGCAGCTTCGTTGACAACGAGTTCGTCGCCGGCGAGTGGCGCCTCGCCTCGGGCACGACGCGGTACATCGGCAATTTCGTAAAGGACGCGCCGGTCGGCGCCGGTGTGTTTTTGCATCGCCTCGGCCCGACGCCACACGGCGCCTTCCAGCAGGAGGGCCACTACTACAAGGGTGAGTGGCAGCCGGGTGTGCTGCACGGTACGACGCGCGTGCCGCCGCGGCTCGAGGTGCTCGTGCCGCAGCAGCAGGAGCCGAAGCGCGTGCCGGTGACATTCGCCAAGGCGTGCAACGGTGGCACGATGGTTGATCTCGTCAAGGCGGCGAACTTCGCCCCTGTACAACGGTGGATCAAGTCGCTGGTGCCGGTGCATGAGAGCCGTGAGTTCGGCGTGGTGCTGATGGGTGTGGAGGTGTGCTCTGTGAAGTACGACCCCGACGACGCGAACCTCGTGGTGGAGGTGCGGCTGCAGCCGGTGCTGCACGACGCCGCGGGCAAACGCCTGCGCCTCTCCCCAACAGGGGACGAGACGATCATACTGAAGGAGCGCACGACGCGGCTGCTGCTGATTGTGGAGCGGCCGGGCGAGGATGATGTGGTGCGCGAGCCGATGGTCGTCCTCGAGCGCTCCGTGCAGCTCGCGTGTGCAGGGCGCGACCACATGCAGCGTCGCCTGCCCACCGTGCAGATTTCGGCCGACGGTGACTTCGGTGGGGACTTCGCGCGCGCCATTCAGCCCGCGCTGCGCATCACGCTTAACCGGCAGACGACAAAGCAGCTGCTGCGGCCGCTCTGCAGCAATCCGCTGCTGGGCGACGGCGAGGAGGACGTGTATATGTACGTGCAGCAATGGCATCCCGACGCCCACGCGACGCTTAAGGCGAAGCTCGGGGTTGCCTCCTCCCTGCCGCCACCACCGCCATCATCGCCCCCGTCACCGCTCCCAGGCCAGCAGCAGCAGCCAAGTGATGAGGCCGCTGCGGTGCCGATGACGGAGGGCTGCCGATACGAGGCCGCCCCGCTCTCGGGGGTGCTGCGCCGGTCAAACGACGCCATTACGATCATCGCTGCCACCATCGCGTTGCGGCGCCGGCAGTTGAGTCAACTTCCGCTCGCCACAGTGGCGCCGCAGCGACCGCCAACACCGCTCCCACCTGCGCCAGAGCCGCGGCCGGATCTGCAGCCGCTCTATGACGCACGTGGTTTGATGCAGCTCGCGGAGGAGGGCGGCAGCGATGACGACGACGACGGGGAGAATGAGTGATCGGTGGTGCGTGTGAGTGTGTGTGTGTGTGT